CGCGGGCGGCCCCCCCCCCCAGCCATGAGGGTCTTTTTGGGGAATTGCGGGGCAGACGGGGGCACCCGGTGGTTGAGTAGTCTTCGTACGAGTCCCTGCCGCGTGTTTAACACCAAAATATTATTTATTTATTATTTTGATATATTAACATTAAAAATAAATTTAAAAAAATAAAAAATATTATTTAAATATATCTCCAAATAAAAAACATTTTAAAACTCAATCTCAAGTATAACTCAACGGTGAGATTAAGAGGCGCTGGGTGCTCGATGATGTGATTGAGCAGTTTCCACCGTTGATGATAGGAGATAAAATTGAAAAAGGGTTTAGATTTAGACACGTATAAAAAATGATTAGATGGATACGGAGACAAGGTCTCAATAGTTGTGGGGGCCAATGTCATAAGCATGTTTGCAACAATGATTTTCAGAGTGCAATGCACCGCATCATTCTCCTTTTTTAAGCCATCAATCATGCTGTAGCACACTAACGAATCCTTTCCTCCTTTCCCCACTAATTTTTTATTTCATACAGCAAAACCTCGGAATATTTTTTTGAGGAAAAAAAATTAATTTCAATTAGCATAAACTGTTCAGCATGTTCTTGAGCCCGGGTCAAGTCTTAAAAGAATCAATCCAGAGTTAGCCCAACAAACCAATACATAACCTAGTTAAAATTAAAATTGGAATGGAATTATTCTGACTTTTTTAAAATAATATATTTAATTGAACCGTGTTATTCAGCTTCTTAAAAATAATATATTTGATTAATCCAAATTAATTAGCTTGATTCTTGACTTGAGCCTTGCACCGAGTCAACAGTTGATTTTGATGCAAGAGAGCAATATCTATATATACTGAGTTTGCTCAACAGCAAGCATGCAGATTGCAGAGACTTCAAGGCTTTAACAATGATGACCAGAGACAGGAGGACTCTATAAATCTGCTAGACGAGGACACTGAAGCTCAAGAATGTTCACGAGACAGATGATTGAGAAACTAGAACGTGATAGAGGCATTACCGTGTTTAAGATTGAATTTAAATTTGTTCAGAAGAAATTATCAAGATTGTTCTAGCAAGTTTTCTAAGTACAAGTTCAAGATGTATCTCCCTGTCGACAAAACATCAAGTCTCTTCTCGCTAGGCTCATATTTTCCCTTCCGAAGCTGGTATCGATGTGTCACAGCTGAAATGGTATATGCCTGTCCTTCAATAGTCACGCTCTCTCCGCATTGCAGGTTCTGCTACATAAGGAACAACGTAAATGAACACAAGAAAGAAAACTTTGACGGACAACACCAGCACCAAATCCATCTGATTCTATCCCTGAGGTCGAATAATGACACTGGCATGCGACAGGATGACTACAGACAGACAGATCACTGGAGTTAAGTTTCTGTTTTAGAGTACACAGACCACAAGGAAGGGTCTGCATTTTGGTTTCTTCTATTAGAAATCATAAAGGTACATTTGACATTTACGGCTCATTGTTTCGTGACTTGGCCCCATACCGTAACCATCAGTCTTTTCCCAGTTCAGAGGACACACAGAACACGGGATTTATCCCAATACAAGTAGCTAAAATCAGCAAAGGAGAGAACAACAAGTCTTTAGTGATTGAAAAACCAATACCCTTCAAACAATAATGTGATCTGCAAACAATAATGTCTCTGAACTTTTTCCCCAGCCTCATCCAACATGCTGTAATGTCTTCAGTTATAAAGACATGTCCTTATGGGGAGCCCCCATTTGTGGAACAGATGATTCCTGGACAGCGTATAAAAATCACAAAAGCTGATCTTTCTTCCTCTTCGTTTTCCTTTAAAAGTAGCTCTTGTATTGGCAAGCAGGTAAAACGAATCTCAGGGATTTGTACCCTTATCTATGTTGCGACCTCCAACTTTCCTTTGCTCTAGCTTTCCATATATATCCATTCAAACTTCATGTTGGGTTCTCTTTATCTTTTTTCTTCTATGAAAGACCTAACATAGCCTTTTCGTTTGTAGTGTCATTATAAGGTCATAATCTCGGAGATTTCTGACTATAATTTGATTGCAAGCAAGTAGAGTCAGGGAGCGAGCTGTACAGGAGTGAAGACCCCAGGATAAACGTCAGAACCTCTTGCCCCCATATAATCAACACCAAAATTTCCTCTATGGGAAGGATTAGGCAAGAAACCCAGATAGGAAATACCACAAAAACATCATATAATAATAATTCTCAACTGTATTGCATTTGCGTTTATTTTATCAAGTCACGAGAAACCCAGATAGGAAATACCACAAAAACATCATATAATAATAATTCTCAACTGTATTGCATTTGCGTTTATTTTATCAAGTCACGAGAAACCCAGATAGGAAATACCACAAAAACATCATATAATAATAATTCTCAACTGTATTGCATTTGCGTTTATTTTATCAAGTCACGAGAAACCCAGATAGGAAATACCACAAAAACATCATATAATAATAATTCTCAACTGTATTGCATTTTCCTCTATTTTATCAAGCGACGAGAAACCCAGATAGGAAATAGCATAAAAAACCAGAAGATAACAGAAACAAAGGGGGCGAAAAACATACAGTGGGAAAGCAACGAATTCCGAGGTTCTTTGGAGGAGGTGTGATGTCAACGACTTTATAAGGGTAGGAATGATCTCTGTCCCTTTCTTTCTTTCTGCATGTTACATGAAGTGCTGGTGTCTGTAGCCAAAATTTAGTTAAAGAGCAATTGTTGAAAAATGATGATACGTGGGAAAACGTGAATGGGTCAAACAAAAAAAAAATGAAAAAGAAAACCTCTGTGAATTGGTGATTAAGGTCACACCTTCTGATATGCACCTAGGTTCCACGACACCGTTGCCATTCTTCTGCTCTCTCTCTCTCTCTCTCTCTGCGTTTAGTTTCTTTCTTTCGTGTGACTGTGATTCAGACTCTCAGGAGTAGATAGAGTGGAAGAAGGTAAGCCAGTAAAAATATAAAGATCATTTCATTTTAAAAGAAAAGAAAAGTTAAGCCATTAAAAATATAAAGATCTTTCTTCATTTTGGGAAGGAATTTTTAACTTGAATCCCACTATCCTAGCATATAATTTATTTATTTTTAATTAAATTAATTTGCATATAATTTGTTTTCAAATTTCACAAGGTGCTGTTTTTTCAAAATTTTCATCAGTTTCAGTGTTTTTTATATTTCTAGATTATTTCTATTTTCTATGATTTTTTGAAGTTTTTTATTTTTTATTTTTTATTTTTAGGTATTGAAAGATTAATTATTCTTTATGCAGTCTAAGAGTAGTTTGGATTAAAGGGGTAAAAAAACATGAGAGAAAACGCAAACATACAAGGGCATATAGCAGCGAGAATTCTTAACTCTCTCCATCTATATAACTTAAGAGTAGATGAATACAATATTCCTTTTTTAAAGATAAATCACAAAAATTCTCTTAAGGTATTTTTATTAAAATTATATTTAATTATTCATAACTAACAAAGCAATTAACTTAACCATGAAATATGTGGCAATATTTTTAATTAGTTGACAAAAAAAAATGTAATGACAACAAGTGGACCAAATTTATATATATATAAAAAAAAAGCGATAACAATAACATTGGAAAAAAAATTATAAACAGGGACATATAATATAACTTAATTCTCAGCCCGTTCGATATAAAAGAATAAATTGAATTAAAAAAGATAATAAAAAATTGTTAAAATCAATCTAAATTGATATGACAAACTTATAATTCGAGAAATAAGAAGCAAGTCAACCTAAGTCAACTTATCAAATTCGCAACTAAGATCATGAGATCGGAATAACTTAGTAGAAAATAAAATGTAACAAATCACAAAGATAAAAACAAAATAAGGGGAAACAATAATGTCAAAACATGTTAAATTTTCAAACTCGTGACTCAGTGCATTAAACTAGGAATATCCTATTTGAAAAAATCTTAAAAATCAATTTCCAACTAATTAAATATTGAAATATTAACTTGGAAAAGAATATCAATTATACAATAGGATCTTAAAAAAAAATTGAAATAATGAACATTAAAATTGAAATATAAAATAAATTTTATTTTTTATTTAAAGGTGGGATTGAAAAGAGAAATTAATTAATCATAAGGACCAAAAACCAATAAATTTTTTTAAATAAAAATAAAAATAAAAATAATTTTTTTATTAAAAGATGAAATTGAATAGAAAAATCAATTCAACAAAAGGCAAAAAAAATAAATAAAGTGGTGACCAAATTGGAAGAAAGTAATATATAGTAAATAGAGATGGAATGAAGAAATTGAAAATAAATGAAACTTCTATAAAAAACCAAGAACATAAATTAGATATCAAAAAAATAAATATTGAAGTTGAAATGGTAGCAATAAAAAATGTTAAGCATTAGTTTCCAGAGGGAGAAAATAATAATAAAAAGGGCCTACTAGCAATAAGTTGGATCACCACCATTAACACATGTTGCTCTACTATAAAAAAAAATATATGAAAAAACCTTCAATAACATGATAAAATAATATTTTTGAACATGGGAGACATTGCATGTGTTGGTGAAGGGTACGTCCTTTAACACATTGCAAACTGTGCCCATTGACTCTAGTTTTGAATTCATTGTTTTTAAGTGTATTTTAGTCATTTCATCCTGCTTTCTAGTTTTTTTATGTTTTATTAAATATCAAATTGCTTTTAGTTAACATTATAATAATGGAAAAACTTGTAAAAATATAAAAATACCATTTGATGCAAGTTTAATATATATATACACACACACTTTAAATGATGTTTTAGTAGTCTCACCATGCCTTGAAATGAGAAAAAACTTATTTATTTTCAGTCAATTCAGTAAAAAAAAATGAGCCATATGAAAACACTTAAATGTCATTGCAAGTTAATGTTAATTTTTTTTAGGTTAAGGGGTAAAATCACTATTATATTATTTTAGTGAACAATACAAATGAATCTAGATGAATAGTATTTTTCAAAAGGTTTTTAGCTCCTAGACCATCATTACTAATTTTTTTTGTCCTTTGTCTTTTTTTATTTATTTTGGTCCCTTGATTGTAATTTTTTTTATTTCTATAATATTTTGTTTATTTAGAATTATGCTAGGTGGTTTCTTTGGGCTACAAAGGCTAGGGGATCATGCTATATTAAGAAAAAATATCTTTGCTTGGTTGATGCTTAATTTATTAATTTTAAATAAATTATATTAATCTAAAATAATTAAGTTTATAGAGACAAAATTCAAAAGATTAGAAAATATTAAGCGGTAAGCCCCCCTTTTCTTATTAGCATTGGGCTAAATTGGATAAATGATGAAAAATGTTTATCACATATTTTTTATGACTCAACTCTTTTTCTTTTTTTTTTTACTGAATCCTTTTACATTAATTTTTTTTTCTAGACTTGGGGGTTTGTTTTGATTGCTTATAAATAAGGATATGATGATGTCAAGAAAAAAAATTGGTATGCAATTAATGCTTAGTTTTGCAAAATAAAACTCAATTGGATTGATCTAACACAACTAAGGCCCGAGGGATCAAATTTGAAAACAAAATAAGGTCAAGAATGAAATAAAAAGGATAGGGAAGAAATGGCTAACGTGTGCAATACATGTGCCAACTAATGAGAAGGGACACCATGCCTCAGGAGCATGACCCTTCTCTGACTATCAAATAGTTTGTTTTGCGATTACTTTTGAATCATTTTGGAGAGGAAAATTATATATAAAAGTGAGTGTTGATGTTGGTGTTATGTTTCTATTGACATTTTTCTTCTTCTTCTTCTTTTTTTCTCATTCACTTGGTTTTTTACCTTGCTTTGTTAATGTTATTCTACATCAATTTTGGTTATCATTCTTCAAATAATTATTTTCTTATTTTCTGACCTTTCTAAAATTGGATTTTTTTTAATCATCCTTCATAATGCTTAATTTTTTTCCATGGGTTAATCTCGATCTCATGACTCAAATTGTAAGTTTGGAAAGTTAACTTGAATTTGAAAGGTTATTTTATTTTCTAATTTCATCTATTAATAATTGGTTAGGTTAGAATTGAGTTTTTTTATTTTTTTTTGCTTTCTATGTAGTTATCTTGATTTTATGCCTTGAATCACGAGTTTTGTTGATTAACTTAGGTTAACTTTGGTCTTTTTTTTTTCTTTTTTTTTTCTATTTTATCCTTCAACATGGGTTGATTAAGCATTAGGCTTAAAAAAAATTATTTTAATTTCTATTTTGAGTTTAGTTTTTTCAATTTCATCTTTTAATATTAGGTTGCTTAAAAATTAAGCATCATATTTGTTTTTCCATAGTTTTCTTTCTATATGGTTATCTCATTCTGATGCCCTAAATCATGGGTCTTCGGTCTTGTAGGTTTACTCTATTTGACTTAATTTTTTTTAATTATATATATTTTTTAATTCCTCCTTTAACATTCTATTGATAGAGAATTGAGTTTTATAATTTGATTCGATTTACTTTTTAAAAGATTATTACGATCTTATTATCTAAACTAAAAGCTTTACAAATTAATTGAAATTGGTTTGGATCGATCTACTATGTTATTGTTTTGATATTTTAAAAAAAAAATATTATTAACTCAAAAAAAAAAACATCTAGTATGCCTCAAGTTTTATGTTCATAATTCTTTTGTTTTACTTTAAGAAAACATGTATGTGATGGCTGCATGTTTTTTTTTCTTACATATAAGAATAATAATTTAATTTATGGTATAACATGGAACAAATATCTAGTTGTTCAAGCTTTTCTTAAGGCCCGTTTATTTACTAGAAAGTAGTTTTTTTTTAGAAAGTGAATTTTAAAAAAGTGAATTCTAGGAAAGTAAATTACTTTATGATGTTTGGTAATGTAATAAAAAATAAGTTGGAAAACACTTTCCAGTGTTTGGTTATGTCATGGAAAATGAGTTGAAAAATAAATTATTAATGTTTTATTTTTCTCAAGTTTATTAAAATAATAAGAAACAAATCTTACGAATTAAAAAGTTGAATGAGAATGAAATTGAAAAAAATATAATTTCATAAATTATCTCAAATAAAATAAATAATAATTAAAATAATAGAGATCAAATTTAAAAAATAAAAAAAATAAAAGATGAAGAAATCAAAATAATAATAATTAATATTTCATAAATTATTTCAAATAAAACAAGTAACAATCAAAAGAATAAGGATCAAATTTGATAGATAAAAAATTTCAATAAAAAAATAATAAGTAAAAAGCAAATAACAATTATAAAAATTAGGATAAAAGTTAATATAAAAATTAAATTTTAAGAGATAAAATTAAAATACAAATATTCAAAACAAAATATATATAGCAATAAAAAATTTGATGATCAAATTTAATATAATCAGTAAATAATATGATATTTTTAAATTTTTTATAATTTTCGGAAAGTGTTTTCCGCCCAAATTTTTCAGAAAAATACTTTTCTGAAATTCAAGTTAAATTTTTCTTTGATTAGAAAGTGTTTTTCGCTGATCAATTTTTTTAATGGTAAATAAATATAAAAAAGTTTAAAAAATATTTTTTAAGAAACAAACATAATCTTAATATAATTTAGAGAGCCTTTATCCTATTTTTAAAAGTATTTTTTTTTTAATATAGTGAAAAAAAAAGAAAAAAAAAAGAAGAAGGTATAAACCTAAGCACCGTGTCCGTTATCATTAGAGACCGCCATGGTTAGAAATCTCAAACGATGAGTTGGGTGGTTAAAGAAGTTTTTTGAGCTTAAATTTAATAATTAACATTAGATAAATGTATTTTTAAGAATTTATTATATTGATAGTGGATGCACCTTTAAAATTACCCAGAAAAAAGTATTTAATCTCAATTAATACATAAATTAGCTTTAACAAATACTTAATTAAAAAATATCAATTTCACACTTTTTAAAATAAGGCATCTTTAAAACACATATAAAAAAACCACTGTGTTAAATTTCAATTATTTAATATGCTGATGAACGCAAGGATGCAATAAATATTCTCCTTCATAAATTTGCAACAAAATGGATGTTAGATTTTTTTTCTAAAAAATAAAAATAAAATCA